TGAAAGATAAAAAAAAAGTTTGATGATATTCATGGCTCCACATCTTGACCAATTTGGGATCTAGTTACAGCCGCGGCTATTGAGGATTCCCTATTGTTTTCCCTGTATCTATAAACCCACAAAACAAGTTAATAACGTAACAAAATCAATGCTTACGTTCAATTGTTTCGATACCAATACAAGTAACGTTATTGTATCTGAAAACCTGTTGGACACAAAACGCCAAAACATTAATCGATAACGTGTCAGATACTTGAGTTTGTTTCTTTTGTTGCATAACGGGCTGTCTATGTTATGGCCACCACGGGTATCAAACCTCAATGTTTAGAGTTATAAGCCCTCAGACTTACCGCTGAACAACAACTGGTGGTATATTTGAGAGATATTCGTAATTGCAGCTCAATTTTGTTCGAATCATTCCCCCCCCCTCAGTCTAAAGCACGTCTTATAATACCCCCACAGCTGAAAGTGGGGATCGCTGTTTCAGCAACATCGCGTCTTGAACCCTGCACCCTTAGATCATTAGCTCAACAAAATAATAAAACAGCCACGCCCGGCCCATATTTTTTTTCCAGAAGGACAAGAGTTTCACGACAGTATATACTCAATTATATGCACGGCATGTGGTCCGTAACTTGAATCTCTGACAATCTTGTTAGGTATCAGTCTCGCTGATCAATACCAGGTAGCGTTGAAGTTAAGATATCTTAACATCTGATCTGATGAAGTATATAATAATAATAACACAAAGCACGGAATTAAACAGTGACTGTTTGCTAAACATTAAATGGAAGTTGTAAGGGATTTAATATAGGTTTCTGCAAACATAATACGTTTTTGCTGAATGTGAGAAAAAACAAAAACAGTGCAAACAGAAAAGCATCAAATAAATACGACCCTTGTCCGTTCAGAAGCACTCTGTCCGGCCTGATAAAATGAAAACACGCACTTGCACATAAAAATAAATTGTGATTGCCACAGACTTAAATATACGTATACGTCTTATTAAAAACATGTACATTAACGAGGTTATGTACTTTTGTAGGCTTATCTTACAAATGTTACACAACCTGTCTTGGTGATTATCAAATAATAAGAGCCACTTTACCTCGTGCATTTTACTGCGAGACGAATCGTACCAACCTCTCTTTATATCAAAGATTATTTCCATGAATGAACAAACAACAACAACAAAAAAAAACAACATTTTACTAATGTCTTTGAGGAGGGAAAGACTCATTTCATTAATATTTGATCAGGGCAAACTACCAACTTAGATCAAAATTAGAAAATCAACTCGGTAGTGAATATATAGTTAATTAAATGTACCGTTCCTTCGGTGGGTTGCTATCATATAGATTAGAGTGAATCATATATTTCATCATATTCTTAAAATAAAGCTTACACAGAATATTAGTAACAATAATACATAATTCAGTTGGTTTGAGCTACATAGGGGCACAAGGAGTGCAGTGTCATTCAAATGACTCACTGATACGCACGTTTACTCCCAAAACTGGTTCGACAAGTTGAAAAGCTCGGGTCATCATTCTTTCTAAAGAAATAAGTTCGCAGGAGATTTCAAGCTGCTTTGGACCACATGGGTGTTCTTGTACAGAACAGTTACTATAGTAATCAGTTTTCTTAGAACGTTCACGGCACATTTTTTTTGCTTTAGGTAACTTTGTGCTCAGGTTAAACAAGTGACCCCAAACGTCATGCTGAGAGTTTACCACTGGACCACAAAGTGCTTGTCACGTGCACTAGTCTCTTGTTAAGAACTGAAAGAAGGAAGAGCAGCCCTTACGCTAGTTTTTCAAAGGCCCTTGAATAGTAGTCAATAGAGGGGGACCTTGCAATTCTAGAGGAGGTTTTGACTACAATAGAGACCTACTTTTCATTCATAGCGACATCTAGTTTTCTCTCTGATTTTTAATTCCCACAAATTTAAGTACCTCAGTAACACGACAGGGAATTTACCTTTCTGAGACACAGCATAAAGTTAAATAACGGTACTAAAAGCGCCGTTTACTTACAAGTACACGTGGCAAGGGCCATGAAATATGATAGAATTAACAGAAAATATGTTGACATCCACCTAAGAAAGAAGAAGAGAAACAAAGAAAGGAAATTTACGTAAATCAGCTTGTATAACAGACCAAAACATGATGTGTTTTACAAACACACCGTAATC